GCCTACCAACAAATTCCCTTGATCCCATGATTGCCCTTGAGGAGGTATTATTTAGCTGCGTAAACTCAGTACCTGTCGCTAATAGATTAAATGTTATATTGGGTATCTTGTTAAACACATCCACGATACTTTTCCGATAAGTTGTGCAACTACTCACTGTTTTCTTGCTAAGAAGTTGTTCGATTAAGAATACAAAATTCAAGGCCTCAGTAAATCTTTCAAAAAGTCTCATGGTACGTGAAGGAAATTTCAAAATTGGATGCATCAGTGACAAAAATGACGTCGGATGCAATTCCTTTTTTTGACTTGTACCAACTTTCTAGAATATTTTCAGGTGAACATTTGACAAGACTGTCAATGAAAACAACATTTTCTTTATTCCACAAGCTAAATAGTAGAAAATTACAGTCATTTTAAAGAAAGATATAGCCAACTGCGACTCGAGAGTAAAGAAGGTAAAGATGTTTTGGAAAATATGTTAACTAAAGTATTTTACTCATCAGTCACAAAGGGTTTTTGAAGGACAGATATGCTGACAGCTAATCCGTCAATTATATGGAACCATACATGATGTGGCCTTTCCGTGAGGCTGACGCGACATGACTTCGATATCCTGAAATGTCAACTTGTTAAAAAGAAAAAAAGAAGCAATACTGCCATTTTTTCAACATCTGTTTCTCATTGCTTTTGGTAGGTCTTCAAACGTCCCTTGCCAGTACACGTAAACATACGCCTCCTTCACACAGACTCACCAGCCATAATCACCCCATGAAATAGACACCATCGGGAGCAGACGATAAAATTGTGTGAATGGATCATTTGAAATCAATGATGACACCAGGTGTTCACTGAAGGGTAATCATGTCCTTCCTACCCGTAGCCGCCGACACTCACGAATTTGCATAAAAATGTGTTCATTGGCAAACGCTGTACTGACGTCCTTTTGCATTGTCGGACAGGTGCCAAAAGCAAGAACACGAGAGGAGTTGCAGTACTGCTTCAGGAGCTGTTCCGATCTATACTCATCCAAAAAAGAAACTTGACATAGGAACAATTTGAATTTTAGGAAAATATTTGACACAAACCAATCCATACTGAGTCCCATAACGTTGAAAAACGTTTGAAAAAAGAAACGTTGAACAAAAACGTAACCTTACACTCACGTTTGTAGTGAATCGCTAAAACTCACCCAACATGAAATGCACTTCATCGGTACTCCACATGCATTGCTTTAAGCCACTATATAGACGACAAAAGAATGCCAAGACTGACAGAACTTCAACGACACAACGCCATCGGCCGTGTACAAGGAGGGGCATCGCAGCATGGGGTGGCAAGGCACTTCGGCGTGTCCAGACACACCATCTCAAACCTGTGGATCCGATAAACAATACTGGGAGTGTTAATGTAAGACGAAGGTCAGGTCGACTTAGAGTTACCACCGACGCCCAGGATCGTTACATCCGGTTGAGACATCTTCGTTCACATCCACAACAACCCTACGCCCTGCACTTGTGCACCAGACAGTGCATAATCGGCTACGGGAAGGCGGACTTTTTGCCAGAAGACCAGTTAGACGTAACGTCTTGACACAACGTCACCGGGCTGAAAGTCTACAATGAAACACACGACGAGTGAGATGGCTGCGGGCAAGATGGAGGAAATGTTTGTTTTGTTTGTGACTCAAATGAGTCTCGCTTTCGTCTCAGACGTGCTGATGGACGTGTATACAGACGTCGGAACGAACGTTACGCCGATAACTGTGTACAGCAGGTCGATAGACGAACGAACGTTACGCCGATAACTGTGTACAGCAGGTCGATACATTTGGTGGTGGAAGTACCATGATGTGGGCAGGTATCCATCATTATGGCCGAACAGCTCTTGTGCACATGACGGGTGTATTGAATGGGGTTCTCTATGGAGACGAGATTTTGCAACGTCACGTCGTTCCCTTCATCAACGTCAACTGTGGACCTTTCCGCATGACAATGCTCGACCTCATGTTGCACGTATTTGCCAGACTTCCTCCAGCAAAACAACGTTCAGGTGCTACCATGGCCTTCTCGATCACCGGATTTGTCCCCCATTGAAAACATCTATGGGATACTCTTGATCGACGCTTGCGCCAGCGTAATCCGCCACCTGAGACACTACAAGGACTGCACACAGCACTTCAGCAAGAGTATCAAAACATTCTTCATGACAGCATTCGGCATCTCCTTTCTTCTATGGGTCACCGCTGCCAAGCTGTTATCGATGTTCATGGTGGTCACACCAGATACTGACATTTTACTCTGACAAGTGGCTTTAAAAGCCCTCCCTGGTTTCGGATAATCATGTTTTGGAAATGTGTAAAGTGATGATTGAGCAATGATGTGATGTTTGAATCAATTATATGCACTCAGTAATAAACTCCGAAACAACATGTATAGTTTCTTTTTTTTGAAGAGTATATAATCAGATCACCTTCATCTGCTGTTTGCATCCATGGACACCTGGTGTTTCAGCGTCTGGACCTGGACAAGCCACAGTAGGTGGTCCGAGATATGTGTGCATGAACCATTCTGTACAGGAAACTTCAGTCACTCCAGTTCACCCTTCACATACACTAATGTACATTGTATTTCATTTACAATTTGAACCTGCTTTGTACTAATGAAGAATCCAAGTGTATAAATAGTTCTACTCAAAACTTCAACTGTTCATCGAGTACACCAACTGTTTCCGAAATGGTGCAGATTGTTACATGATGTCCATGAATGCAACTGACCATGACCAGCCAGAGTTCTAATGAGTGAGTGAGTATAGTTTCTTTTTTTTGAAGAGTATATAATCAGATCACCTTCATCTGCTGTTTGCATCCATGGACACCTGGTGTTTCAGCGTCTGGACCTGGACCTGGACAAGCCACAGTAGGTGGTCCGAGAGTCCGTAGTTTTACGTCGCACTCAGCAATATTCCAGCTATATGGCGGCGGTCTGTAAATAATCCAGTCTGGACCAGACAATCGAGTGATCAACAGCATGAGCATCGATCTGAGCAATTGGGAACCGATGACATGTGTCAACCAAGTCAGCGAGCCTGACCACCCGATCCCGTTAGTCGCCTCTTACGACAAGCATGGGTTACTGAAGGTTCATTCTAACCCGGACCTTCACGGGTACCAGATTTCTAAAACTGATGCAAAAAGTATATGCAAGAACGTAGTGACATTTGCTAAAGCCAGTGTACCTGTTACGACGTTTAGCACCATGCTTTTGAAAGATGGGTAATTCAATTTTCATGCTATTTGCCTGGCTCCACAGTAATACATCATTGTCTGGGCCTAGATTTTCGAAGCTCTCTTAGCGCAAAAATAGTCGTAAGTTAATGTTAATGTATGACACTTACGACTATCTTAGCGCTAAAAGGGTTTCGAAAATCTGAAATGTCTTACCCAAATTGTACATAGATGTTCGTAATGAGGAACGCCGGTTTAAGCATTTCACATTTCAATTTTATTACCGGTAAACTTCAGATGACACATCTGCTTTCATTTTAGACAACTCTCCCGAATGTAATATGGGACTATGTCTATTTTCAGTACCTATATTAACAAAGATCCCCTGAATTAACGAGTTTTTTCCTTAAATATGTTTTGCCTCAAAGCGGTGATGAAAAATCCGACGCAATGCCATAATAAAAATAGGTACATTCAAATCATTAGAGGCTACGAAAATTCACACGATATTAATTTTAAATCTGTCAACTACTTTCTATGAATATAAACTATGCCTTTACTGTTGCTATTCTGTGAGGATGATGTTCGGTGGTACATTTCCTAAAATTTACAAAATATCTCTTTGTATCCATGGATCTTTATGGGTTTTCAGGAGGAAGGATAACCTTAGAAAGAGCAGTTATCTTCCCCGACAATGGTATGCGGTCATAGGATCCGGTTGTATCATTGCTTCATTAATTAATGTCAACCTTAAACCCTAATTATACATTAAATCTTTAATGCGTCATTAGTTAATGGCAACGTTAAAAACGGTTGTATCAAACACTTATTAGCGTATCATTATCTAATGACGTTCTAATGATACCCCATGACCTTCATTAAGTTAATGACGCGCTAATGACGACACGGCGTCATTAAAACCTTAGTACAACAGAATTTAATGACACATTAGTTAATGAACGTTTAATGGCACGTTAATGCTTCATTAAAGTTTGATACAACCGGGTCCTGGTATCGACATAATAAAGACAAACAAATATTTCCTTTGGATGAATATTAGTGTCCTGATCAGTGTGTGTCTTACCGGCCGGGTCGTGCAATATCTGGTCCCGTTTTGTCCATCGTACATATGCTATATCAATTAACCGTATTTGATTATTGATTATTGATGAAAGGACCCCATCCTGAAAGACGCCGCTGATAGAGACATACGATCGATGAACTTGAGCGGAAGCAACATTGTGACAATGTATTGCTGGACTACGCGGTAACAGTGCAACACAAGATGTACAAGTGGGTGGTCTTACACCATGCAATTGTCATACACTTGTCATATACAGGTCATATGCATGTCATACACTTGTCGTACACGTGTCATACACTTGTCGTGCACGTGTCATACCCTGTCGTGCACGTGTTATACACTTGTGCACGTGTCATACCCTGTCGTGCACGTGTCATACACTTGTTGTACGCATGTCATAACCTGTCACAGACTTGTCATTCACGTGTCATACACTTTTATTTCACGTGTCATACACTTGTCATTCACGTGTTATACGTTGTCACACACAATTCTACACCATATTCCTAACAGGAAATTATGACTTGGGTACTATTCTGTCCAGGAACACTGCAGGAAGACTAGCATGTGGACTCCCCGGAAATCCACACGGAATGCAAGAATGGGTTCTGTGGACCGTTTCATACAGAATAGTTATACCAGGTACTTCTTAATGAACTGAAAACTGAATTATAAATATATATAAATACTTACAGGTCGTGGTTTCGGAGTTGACCATGGAGCTGAAATGAGACAACGATCATTGTTATGATACAAGTAACCAACAATGTAGAGCATATACATTTTCGTACATCGGGTTTTCTGTCTGAATCAGGTTCAACGTCTTATTATTCCATTCGAATAAGTGACACACCCAGGCCATGTTTCTGTGGAAGTAAACCTGTCTGTTATACATCTATAATTCCAACAGATGTCATAGCCCAGTAGGTCAAGAGTTTGCTCGTCAGGGCCCGGGCCATCGATGCCATGTGATTCGATGAGCAATGGAGAGGGCGATGGTGCGATCAGATGGAATGATGGTAAGGCGCGAGGATGTGATCAGATGAAACGATGGTAAGGTTCGATGACTCGATCAGATGGAGCGATGGTAAGGCTCGATGGTGCGATCAGATGGAACGATGATAAGGCTCGATGACGCGATCAGATGGAGCGATGATAAGGCTCGATGACGCGATCAGATGGAACGATGGTAAGGCTCGATGACGCGATCAGATGGAGCGATGATAAGGCTCGATGGTGCGATCAGATGGAACGATGGTAAGACTCGATGACGCGATCCGATGGAACGATGATAAGGCTCGATGACGCGATCAGATGGAACGATGATAAGGCTCGATGACGCGATCACATTGAGCGATGATAAGGCTCGATGACGCGATCAGATGGAACGATGATAAGGCTCGATGACGCAATCAGATGGAACGATGGTAAGACTCGATGACGCGATCCGATGGAACGATGATAAGGCTCGATGAAGCGATCAGATGGAGCGATGATAAGGCTCGATGACGCGATCAGATGGAACGATGGTAAGGCTCGATGACACGATCAGATGGAGCGATGGTAAGGCTCGATGACGCGATCAGATGGAGCGATGATAAGGCTCGCTCGATGGTGCGATCCGACGGAACGATGGTAAGACTCGATGACGCGATCCGATGGAACGATGATAAGGCTCGATGACGCGATCAGATGGAACGATGATAAGGCTCGATGACGCGATCAGATGGAGCGATGATAAGGCTCGATAATGCGATCAGATGGAGCGATGGTAAGGTTCGATGGTGCGATCAGATGGAACGCTGGTAAGGCTCGATGACGCGATCAGATCGAACGATGGAGAAGGGCGATGTATCAAAAGAGTAATGTGATTAAGTGATGCGATAAACAATGAACGATGAAATAAATAAATAATCTAATAAAACCAATGGCTGAAACCAGTAACAACGTAACGCAACTGATGATGACAAGAGACAAGCATCATCATCTGCCCCAAGGACCCGAGCTAACGGGGTCCTGTTTCTCCTCTGAATTCACGAAGGGGGTTAACACGGAAGCTCCCTCACTCACTAATTTTTCAAGGAATAATGCATGTATATTTTAAGCAATTATTTACAAAGGTGTGTATGTTTGTGGTTACATAATTCATGTTGTGTGCGCATGCGTACGTACGTGCGGGTGTATGCACGCATGTGTGTGCGCGCAGGTGAACAGCCACATCCAATGTCATTAAAATCAAATCTTTGACACAGACTCCTCTCAATGTGGCACTTCGGACCAGATCTAGATGTTCTGATTTTAATCAGAATGGTCATGTAGATATTCTACAGTGTCACAAAATGATCCAGTATCCATTGTCAAAGCTGTTCTATCCAGAAATGAAATATTTGGCATTATCCCTTCGGAATGTTACAGTGTCAACACGTAGTGCAAATATATTCTTACTTCAACAACAATTGAAATGAAAGGCATTAATAAATAAATCCTTATTTGTACGAATATACATGCGATTTATATCTGGCCGTTTTTGATATGGCAAATAAACATTTTGCGGTGAAAAGTGTTTACACATTGAATAACGGATGGAGAGAACATTACTTAAGTGTTTCAGTTCTGTCGTTTTCACATCGCACAAGTTTTAACAATGTCAACAGCTGAGCTGAGAGTCTGGGCATCCGTCTCTTCGTCCCTGATGATGTTTACACGGGTGACCATAGATGTTTACATCTTTCATCGATCGCTGATAATTAGACATTTAAGTTTAATTTAACGACTTATAATTAGTATAAGTGCTGAAATATTTTTCTAATGTAAGGCGAATTAGAAAAACACTCGGCTGGTCCTGAAACAGGCGAACACTCTGGTGGCTACGTCAAGGTTTCCAACGACAGTCTGAACTCTAATATCTCCGTGGAAGTCTGCAGCGCTCTTTTGAGACCCCAAACCATCAACATGTGTACAGTAACATAACATATTGTTTTCTAGTGTAAAACGATGTGCGAATGTCACGGTTGTCTTCCCATGTTTAAATAAGTGACCTTGCCCTTCGTCTAAAGCTTTCAGTCACAGGATACTCTCATCTGTTCATCTCTTTCCCCCAAAAAGGGACACGTTCCAAAAAAGCGATGGTTACGTTAAGAAACTTTGGTTTTACACCGCTTTTAGCAATATTCCAGCAATATCACGGCGGGAGACACCAGAAATGGGCTTCACACATTGTAACCATGTGGGAAATTGAACCCGGGCCTTTGGCGTGACGAGCGAACGATTTAACCGCAGGGCTACCCCACCGACCACTACTTCAACACAGACATACGAAGCTTAACAAACGGGACCAGACGAACCGCTCTGGTAGCCACAATGATTTCCTTTGGCGAAAATGGCGCCAAATGATACTGACAGGATGTTACTTCAGCTGATAAACAAACGAAACCCAGCCTTATAAGTTGAACAGTGGTTAGACTGGCTGTGTTACGACGTAAATTGTAATAAAAACGCAAATTGTAATACTTGCAGCAAATTGTAATAAACTTGACGTAAATTGTAATAAAAACGTAAATTGTAATAAAAATTGACGTAAATTGTAATACGCAAATTGTAATAGAAATTGACGTAAATTGTAATAATTTTCGTTGCGGTAAAATGTAATAAATATTTACGTAAATTGTAATAACAGTTTTAATCACTCGTAAATACGCGGCTGTTTGTTTATCGTTGCATTTCATATATCAAATAAGCTTGTTAGGGCGATAACTCAAGAAAGAATGATGGATTTTGTTCAAATTTGGTACCAAGGTATATTGGCGAGATTCACCGACACAAGTGAAATGGAGTGACCTTGAGATAATTTTCAAGGTCACAGCAAAAAATCTGAGGGTTTTGCCAATATAAATATTGTTAGCGCGATAACCCAAGAAAGAATTGACAAATCTTAGCCAAATGACGAAATTGATAGTCGTCCTGATATATACTCTCCCCAAAAAGAAACGCATCATGGAAATAGCAATTTCATGTAGCAATGAATTAAAACGTGATTCATTTTACAAAAGGTTTTGCTCTGTTTATGAGTCCTATGGTGTTTATGTTTTGAAACATCAAAACAAAACGCACCATCCGTAAAATACCCGTATGTAACAGCATGATTTTCAATTTCGGCGTGTAGTGTCACAGAATAGACAATTCACATGCAATGCACGTGAAAGTTGGGGATCAGATAGTCTCAATGATGGGTATAAAAGGTTGATCGCTGTCTGTCGATTATTCACTGTATTGGAATATTGTTGACGAACGTAAAATGCCACGTCTAAGTGAAGCCAACCGTCATATCGCCATTTGTTTGCTTGAAGCTGGCCAGTCTCAACGGGCAGTTGCCCGACGCATGAATGTTCACCAAAGCACTATTTCACGGCTCTGGGAGAGATATGGCCGCAGAATGCGGTAGCAGATGCCCCTCGTAGTGGGCGACCTCGAGCGACCACTGCGGCGCAGGATCGCTACATCCAGGTACATCACCTGCATCATCGAACAGCTACGGTGACCAGTACCGCTCGACAAATACCCGGATTGAGGAGGCTTTCTGCACAGACCGTCAGAAACAGGTTGAGAGAGGCTGGTTTACGTGCCAGAAGAACTTTTTTTGGTCCTGTGCTTGGACAACAACATCGTCGACATCGAGTTCAATGGTGCAACAACGTTCAGGCCTGGAACCTACCGAATTGGGGTAGAATCTGGTTCAGTGATGAATCACGATTTCTATTGAAACGACGCGATGGAAGAATGCGGGTGTACAGACGTCGACGTGAACGTTTCGCCGACGCTTGCGTTCCCCAGGTGGACAGATTCGGCCGGGACAGTGTTATGATGTGGGGAGCGATCACCTGCCGGAGGAGAAGTGATTTGGTGATGATCCAGGGCAACCTGATAGCTCAACGGTACTGTGACGAAATCCTACGCCCACACCTCCTTCCAATCATTGATCGCCAGAGGGAGTTGTTTCAACAGGACAATGCCAGGCCCGACACAGCACGTCACACTAGAGACTTCCTCCAGAACCACAACATCAATGTGCTCCCCTGGCCCTCAAGATCACCGGACTTAAACCCGATCGAACATCTGTGGGATACCCTGGACAGACGGGTGCGACGCCGTAGCCCTCAGCCCCAGACACTTCAGCAACTCGCACAGGCACTACAGGCAGAGTGGGCTGCGATTGGGCAGCTCGAGATTCTGAGACTTATTCGTTCGATGCCGAGGCGATGCCGTGCAGTTCTGGATGCCCACGGTGGTTACACGAGGTATTGACTTCAGCGCCACCACACGTCTCCATGTGACACTCAAACTGACATTCCTCGAGTTGGTGCCAAAGACGGATAAGTCTGCATTCCCAGTGTGAAATTTCGCTATATTTCATTGACTCATAAATCCTACAAGATGTTTCAAAATAAACATAAAAATACAGTTGAAATTCCTATATGCGTTTCTTTTTTGGGAGAGTATATAATCGATTTAAAATCTCCTACTGTTCTCTGTATCATGTCTTTTCGCAAATATCTTTTGAGGTTTTGATATGTACAAATATAAAGTGGGGTGGGGTTGGGGTGGGGTTCTAACGGGTATATCAAATCATATCAAATTAGACATTTGTATAGCGCTACATATCCAGAGTACTGCTCATGTGCGCTTAGTCGAATGCTCGTTTGAAGAGGATTGTTTTGCGACAAGA